TCGTGGCCTACAGGTTAAGGTGTTCAGGTGAGTTGTACGGGGCTCTCGTGGCCTACAGGTTAAGGTGTTCAGGTGAGTTGTACGGGGCTCTCGTGGCCTACAGGTTAAGGTGTTCAGGTGAGTTGTACGGGGCTCTCATGGCCTAGAGGTTAAGGTGTTCGCCTCTCATTCAATAGGTCCCGGGTTCGAATCCGGATAGCGACGAAAATTTTTCTTCTCGAGATTGTCTCCTTTCACCTCCTTTCCTGCTCTCAAGCAATGTTCTGTTGTCTGCTTTCGTCTCCACTTTCTGCTCCTACACCCTTCACCTCCTTTACCCCCTCCTCTGGGCTCCTGAATCTTTCTGCAGCCTTTCTCACGTATTCTCACCACGTGCATTGAACGTATTCTCACCACGTGCATTGAACGTATTCTCACCTCATGTACTTTCAGACAAGAGCGAGAGGGATCCCTCCAAGTGGACGATGAGGACCCGGTGACCGGGTTCTCTGAACAGGGGACCAAACAGCTGGACACGGACGGACTCCTGTGGATCGGAGGGAGGAGTAGCCTCCCGTGGGGCCTACCCACCATGAAGAACTTTGAGGGCTGTATAGAGAAGGTGGAGGTGAACGGGCAGCGGCTCCACCTAGTGGAGGACAAGAACGGACACAGCTCAACAATAGCTTTTTGCTCATGATGACTGATGGTGGCGGAGCGATTTCAGGACAGTATGGGGCGATACGATACGGGACGAAGCGAGGCGATTTGAGACGACGTCGGTCGAAGGGAATGGTCATTTTGTTTGGGGATTTTTTAACGTGTGTGTGACGATGGAGTGAAGTTACATGACACTCAATACGGGGGGTTTGGGGGGTGTAGCGGGTCTTTCGTGTAGTTGATGAGGGTAGCCTAGTTTCTGATGTGACAGGGAACCAGGGAAATAGAATCGATGAGTGGAAGTGTTTGCACACACTTTCAGGGATTATGTTGATCTATTTCCAAAGCCAAGGAGGGCTTAAACATTTTAGCTTTAGTGCAGACGCTTGCATTGGGTTTGGTTGTTTTTTTTTGGGGGGGGGGTTTAACTGTATCTGCAAACCGACAGATATTGTAGAAGCGTACGTGATCCTTATCTCATGAAAAATGAGTTACTCCTTTTCACCTTGCTGCGGTGGGTGAACAAAGAGCACAGGAGTTATCGCTTTTCTTGTGACAGCGACGATTTTTTTTTTTTAAAATTTAAAAGCGGGTTTCCACATTCACAATGTCATGGAATATTCTGGAGCAAATGATCTAATTCTTTGTTTCCCAGTTTGATTAAATGCTAGTAGATGTCGCTCGTTGAGCCAGAAACATCGGATATAATATAACATATTATATACGGCTATGTCTGTTCAGAAAGTGCAAAGTGTTCTGTATTTGAAATGTATCCACTGACTATGGTTGACAAATTGTAAGGATTTTTCCATAAAGTTTTTTGCTCACTTACGGATAGTCTGATATATTTTGTTGGGCAAGCTAAAAGGTTTAGTCGAAGAGGTAAGATTTTAATTTTCTTAAGCAGTTGATATTCTAGACTTTGAAAAATAAACTTTTTAAAGATTTAGTAGCGGGGTGTGTAAGCAGTGCCTGGAGGTCATTCTTTGAAGTATATTTGTCATTCATCATGGCACGTTGAAGAAAGTAACTTTAGTGGAATGATTGTAAATCTTTACCTTTTGATTTATTTCATATCTGAAGTTACGATTCTTAAATAGAAGTGAGGAAATTTGTGTTACGATGCAGTGGAATCAGGCGCTCGTCAATTTTGGGGCATATGGAGTTATTGGTGTCATCTGAACGTTTATTTAATTGCCTTGCTCTCACTGAAAAAATGCCCATCTATCTTAAATAGAAGTCGAGATATTTGCCATTGAAGGAGTTGAGGTCACCTGGTTTCAGTGGTAAAATTAGCGAGAAAATGCTCGTCAAAGTTTGATCATTTCAATAGCGTGAGAGTCCTTGAATACGATGAAATTACATATTATTATTTTGTGCCTTTAACCAAAGTTTTCAAGTAAAATTCACATGAAAATGTGTTTTTATATGGACATGAAAGGTGTTGAGGCACAAAACAAAAATCCGACAAGAATTGCCAAACTGGCGGGAAAATGCCTGTTTCTTTGATCTCGTTATATTTTAGTCGAGCGCCTGATTGCCCCACGATGCCTCACATTTGTTTTCTTCGTAGCAAAGAGGGTTTTCTCAGAAAAGTTTACATCGCCTCTTGGACACAACATGTATACAACCCCCCGCTCCATAAGGCGTTACTAAAACGGTCATTCTACTATTCATGTGAACAGTTGCATGGAAAAATGAGGCAGATCCAATTTGGACATTTTCAGACATTTACCTTTTCTCTTATTTCGAAGAAACTGAACATCATATTTGTAATCTGTCTGTCATGGTCAAAGAAGGATAAGATTTATTTTAAGGAAGCTATTTTGGAATCGGGAGAGATTTTCTTGCACTGTTTAAAAGGATACTTGACAGAAACAGTTAAAAATGTGGCGTGTGGCGCATTTGGCTCTGATCTGACACTGTTTTTGTGGTCTCTTTTTGTCCGCTCAAAGCATTTTGAAATGGCACCTGAAGAAATGAATGAGGAGGAAAAGAAATGAACCTGACTTGACCGTGTATTTCAATTGACCTGGCATACTCAATGTGTACCCCAAGTGTATACATTGGCTTTCGTTTTTGTCATTTGCTTTGGACATACTGCTATATCGAGTTTGTGTATAAAAATTTGAAAAAAATCTTGTTTATTTGTCAGGATTTATGTCAATGTATTCACAGAATTTTATTCAGCACAGATGTTAATCGACTGATCCTTTGGATAAAATCCTTTGAGTTGTGTGTTTTAGAAAACATGGGTCTGTAACATGATGTGGGCCCCACGTTTGAATTTGTTTGTTGTTTTTTTTGGGGGGGGTTGTCTTTTTGTCTTTTGGGGGACTGGGGGATGGGGTGGAGAGATTTTGTTGCATTTACTTCGAGAAAGAGTTATGACAATTTTTGTATTTACAGCTTTGTTCTGTTTAGAAAGCCTTTCAGCTTTGACGTTTATGGAAAGATGTCGTGACGTGTAGTTAACTACTCACGGGTTATTCTGAAGAAGCTAGGGTGGATTTTGCCACGATGACTTTTTCACTCTCGTATATAGAGGGTTTTAGGATTTTTCAATATGGTCAAGATTTTGAAAAACATTTTTTTTTAATCTCAAAAGTTTTTATTCTATTTAGATTTTTTTTTCAATACTAAAAGTGTACCCTCTACACCTCATCTCTTACCTCGCCCCCTCCCCCCTCCTCCCCTCCCGCCCAAATCACCTTCAAGCAATATGTTGTTTGAGGTACATTATTTTCACAACTGGGAAACAACTTGACTGCAGACATAATTTTGGTTCACTTGTGTGATGATAGCTTCAGAATAGCGGAACTTTGTACTGTGCCTAAGCCAGATGTTATAATTGTGACTTTGTGATATCCATGGATGTAAATAGCACACTGTGTATATATACGTTCAGACAAAGCATTGTCATACACCTGACTGGAATGTATTTCGTGTCATGTGTTTTCACCGTGGGGACTTTTATATCAACGCACACGACAGCACCCTGGCGTGAAGTCATAATACGTTTGATCATAACCTGTTGTTGTCACCCAGGGGCCTGTTTTTTTTTCTCCCGACCAGTCGTTCTCATCTCTGTGACGCCTACCAAAGCTACAAAAGGATTTTTTTTTTTACCCAAGGAGTGGGCCACCAGTTTACAAACACGACCATGGTGACAAGGGATTTCTTTTTATCCCTCTTTTGCCGCAGTCGAAATTCTAAGATAATATGCTGATCCTCTGACTCAGTCCCTGTCTATCTCTTATTAAAATGGACAGTATATGTGAGGCAGCGTGGTGGAATCAGGCTCTCGTCAAAATAATGAAATCGAAGGAAACAGCAGTTTTCTCCCTGCTTTACAATTTTTACCAAATTTTTGTTTTTCGGCTAAACACCTTTTTATGTCCATTTACAAACAAATTCCTTTGAGGACTTCACCGAAAAGCGTTGATTAAAGGCGCAAAAATATAAATTTACAGTTTCATTGGACTCTCTAGCTTTGGAATTTACCAAGCTTTGGCGGCCATTTTTACTCTAATTTTACCTTTTGAACCAAGTGACCCCCACCTCCTTCAATCCAAAATATCTCCACTTCTATTGAAGATGGATGGGTTATTTTTTCATTGAAAGCAAGACACATGAACACGCTTTAAGATGATACCAATACCTCAATATGCCCAAAAATTGACGAGAGCCTTATTCCACCACGCTGCCTCACATATTATGATAGTGAGGTTGTCTTTCTTTCTTACCCCACTGCGGGCTCTCTACCGAGCACCAAACACACCCCTCGGGGTACAGTAGTCCAAGTGGAGCAGTCACGCCATGAGAGCTCAACTGTTCGGACTCTGTACGGGGCCAGGGCTAGAGGGTTAAGGATTGTTTTGTACGGGGTGGGGTGTTTGTTTTTCTGGGTCAGTAGCAACGTAATATTTCGGTTTATTGTCTTCTATGCTCTTACAGTACTGTAACCCCCAAACGGGGTACATGAGCTATAAAATTCTGGTGGGAAAGTACAGACGTAGTGTTACAGGTAGGTTGTTTGCCGTAGTATGTAGAAGACGGGAATGCAATCCCAAATGGGGAAGTTATATATCGAGTACCGCGACCGTCTCTCCGTTTTTCTGCCGGGATGTTCTATCCCTGGTTGGCTCCTGACAGGCGGGATGGAAGCAGCCTTCCTCCTAAATTATCAGAATTATTAGGTCAACTGGGATTAAACGTTACAATTTTTACTTTTTTTTTTCTTTTTTTTTTTTTTTTTTTTGGGGGGGGGGGTTCGAAAGTGATGGCGTCACTTGATGTCTTTGATGTGAACGACAGAGATTTGTCTTTGCAGTGTCAGATAAAAAGGAGAGTGAATTTTTCACCGATGATTGCACCGCGTAGGTTCACGATGACTTTTTCTCTGTGTCTGTTTGCTCCATGAGGACTAAAGCCATTAGGTTGTGAGTAACCCGTTTGTACATACTCTCCTACTCATTACTCTGTGTACATGGCGAGAATATAACCCCAATGCTTTCGCTCATTATCATATGTGTACTGCACTTTTCAATATATATATATATATATATAAATATAAATATTCATAGCTGAAATGTCATTGGATGGATCAGCATCTGTGATGTAATGGTGTGGCTCTTGGCCGTTGCACGCTGAAAACCCGAGCCCAATTCCTGAATGGGCATTTTTTTTCTCCAGTATCTCCAACAGTGTGCTGGAACGTTGTATACGCTCAGCCGGAATTGGCCCTGACAGGCGGGGTTGGTTGAAGCTGGCAGGCTCCAAACTGATCTAAATGAGTCAATTGATTGATTGGTTGATTGAGTATGTGTTTTACGGCGCTATCGACCCAATTTTGGTCATTTAAAAATTAGTCAATAGAGGTGTAAAACTTTAACAATTACAATAACAAAGCCCTTAGCTGAAGTTGAAGTGTCATGGGCTAGAGTAGAGCTGAGGGAAACATTGGTCAGTATCGAGGTAAGTCATTCCGTTTTTTTGGTGAAACTTCCCACTCGGCTTTTCCGACTTGAGACCAACAGTACAAATACTAGCCTACAGGG